GGCTCCCCCACGGCCCCCAACCCTTCCCAGGCCTCTCTCACCTTCCTCTTCCTCACGTCGGGTCCCATACGGTCCCACAGCATCTGCATCAACGTGAAGGTCATCTCCTGCAAGGCCCCGGACACTCAGGTGCTCCTGCTCCCCTCCCACGTGGCCTCCCGCAGCCAGACCGTGGTGGGTGGACGCCTTGCCCGAGCCCCCTGGCACCAACGCTGTCCCCACCTCCAGCAGGCTCTCAGCCCAGAGCGACCCCAGCTCCAGCACACACTCACACTCATGGGGGTTCTTGGGCCACGGCCGCCCGCCCTGAGAGGGTCAGGGGAGGTCCCTCTGCCTCCCAGGGTGCCCTGAGCACCGTCACCCGGCTATCAGCACCGCTCCCCTCACATGACTGTGGGCGGCACAAAGCTGAAGCCTATCTTGTGTTCTGTGGGCCCTGCTCACCTGGGAGACCCGCACCCCAGGGTGACGGCAACCCTCCATATGCACATGAGGAGCTGAGGCCACAGAGGGGCCGTGACAGGCTCAGGGGACCCAGGGGACAAGCCAACCTTGCTCGGCCACAGGCCCCAACCCTGCTGCCAACCCCACGCCAGCCCCAGCCCTGACAGGGGGCTGTCCCCTGGGTCCTCACTAGATGCTAGGCGCCCAGTCAAGTGGAGCCAGGGAAGGAGACAGACGAAGCCCTCGGGGACCTGGGGGACCCTACTTTCCCCATCAGCTTCCCCCTCCCACCCCGCAAACCTCAAGTCTGCCCCCAAGCTGGGACACAGCGCGGCAGAGGACTTGCCCCAAGGATCCCTCCCTTCCAGACCTCTAGCCTCCATTTACCTCTAGGAGCTGCTTCCTGTTAACTCCCTTGTCCGTGTTTTTAAGTTTTTTGTAGATCCAGGAGCTCTCCCTACGGGGATGGGAGAGGAGGAGGGACACATGCGGCCAGCAGGCGGGGAGTCTCGGGGCTGACCCCTTTTCCCGGGGATCCTAGAAGGCCCGCTGGCCCGCAGGAGGCTTTCCACCACGGCCCTGAGCCCTGGGAATCCGTGGCCTGGGGAGGGGGCTGCGTGTTTCCACCCGGGGCCTCCATTCCCTGTTCTCCCGGGGGCGAATCTGCTTGGGGCCAGGTCGCCGTCCTTGGGGCAGAGACCTCCTGCTGCAGAGCACAAGCTCCAGATCTCCAATGGGCTTCACCCCACACCTGACATTGCAGGGAACTGATTCCTGTGGGGGAACCCGTGGCCTAACCCACAGGGGCTCCAAGAGCCCAGCATCCCTGTCCTTAGGCTCTGCCGCCTCCCAGGAAGTCCCAGCCCACTGAGGGACACTGCCAGACGTAGGGGCGTCCCTGTCCACTCAGGTGCCCTGGTCCCGGGGACAGGCCTACCCACCAGGACACATGACCCCAGGTGCTGTCCAGACGACGAATAGCAGGGCACTGCAGGGCCGAGACAATGGCATGGAGGGCAGCGTGGTTCCTGAGGTACCAGCACTCCTGGGAGGGAAGACAGAGCTGAGAGCATGGCCTGGTTCTCTGCTTCTGTCCCCCCATGAACTCCTGTCCTTAAGGAGACAGTCACGCAGGGAGCGCAGCACACCTGGTACCTGCTGAGCACCCTCCTGGGTGGAGGACTGTGGCTCAACCCAAGGAAGGGGCCAGGGATGGCTGTCACCCCCACCAGGGCCTGCGAGTCCAGGTCCACACACCCCTGGCAGGAGGGGCCCAGGGACTGTGCAGGGCACACCGTAGGCAACCACCCTGAGAGTTGGCCAAGGAGGGGAGCAGGTCCCAAGACACCAGGATGGACCCCAGGGGCCGTCCCATGACTCACCTCGGCCACCCGGATCCAGAACTCCACCACTCGTGCCCTGTCCTGGGCCGTCATGCTCGGGGTCCCAAGGCAGGAGGTGGTGACCAACCTGACTGTAGCTTCAATCTGCTTCATGACCTTATGGATGGTGGGAGCGATGTGCTCAATGGTTCCTGTTTGTGGTTGGTGCCAAAGGTAGGCTTGGCATTCAGAATAGCGCACCTTCATGAACAGCTCCTGGGCATGAGAAGCAGGGGTCATCCAGCTATGCCCCTGTGCCAGGCAGTCACCAGTCAGAGCTGGACCCCAGGCAACTGGGGGTGTGGCCATCTGGGCTTTGGACCGCATCCACTGAGGCACCGAGAACTGGATGCACAGGATGGTGGGGAACAGAGGGCCTCTGCTCGCAGGCACCCTCACTCACCTCCTCCCTGCAGCACAAGGCAGCTCACGCCTGCCCATCCTGGGGCATCTGCCTCCCATGCTGCCACCCCCTGGATCCTACTCCCCACTCAGGTGCAGTTTCCCCTGAAACAACTCCACCCAGGGCCTTTGTTGGTGTCTGTGTCTCCCACGCAGTCAGGTCCATGGCAGGGGCTTCTGAGGTGCGGAGGCCATAGGAGCCTGCCAGGCCAATGGCCCGAGGACCTAAGGCCCTGGCAGCACCTCCCTGAGCACCCCTCCCCTGCCCTGCCCCTCCCAGCCCGGCCAGGCCCTGCCCACCTTCCCTCCGCTCCTCCTCATTGGTCTGCAAGGATCCCTAAGGGCCGGCCCTACTGTCCCCGTGTGGTCAGTGAGGGCTTGGGGGTGAGGAGAGTCTCTCAGGGCACATGGTGAGTCCGTGGGGAAGCTGGGATGTGGGCCCACATCACAGGAGTCCACGTCAGGGGAGGGCAGGTCTGGGGCAGCCCGTGACACAGGGAAGGCCTACCCCCGACCCCGAGAGCCCGCTCCGCTCACCGCACACATCAGGGTCAGCTGCTTGGCCACCAGGCGGGGGGCAAACACCAGGATGGGCGGCTCCTCCTTCCTCCACATGTCCTGGGTGCTCGCGGTACAGGGCCTGGTGGGTTCCAGACCCACATCTGGCTCTCCCTGGCCCAGTGCCGTTCCAGCAGGTGCCCTGGGCCCTGGGCTCAATGGATCATGGGGCTGTAGCTCGGGGCCTGAGACCACTCCTGGGATGTCCCAGGTGCTCGCAGCTAGCACGGGTACTGAGGCCACTGCTGGGACATCCCCCGGCTCTGCACAGACTGAAGCACGTGACGCCGGCTGTAGCTCCAGCACAGGGGTCTCAGGGAGCTCCTGAACTGGTTGTAGATAGTGGTGGCACAAGAGATACCAGGCATGCCACCTCGGTCTCCTCCGACGTAGTGCTGGAGCAGGACACAGAGAAAGGGTCACCCCAGACCTGATTACCCCCATACCTTACCAAGGACAGAAGAGACCTCATGGCCTTGAAGGGAATCTCAGTCCGGGAAGCCCACCCTGGATGGTCCCCTGGCTGCAGCCCCTCACCTTGCAGCTCTGCCACTGTGGGCCCCAGGTACATCTCCTGGACCAAGTGGTGGTGGACTTGGTCCTCCAGGGTAGATGAAGGCTGGCTGTCATGGTGGACCCTGGGCGCATGCTCGGGCTCCCAGGCCAGGCGCCTAGCCCGTCCCATCCTGGGGCTGGGGGAAGGCCTGGGGGTGGCAGAGTGAGAAGCCTGTTCTTTCCAGCCACACTGCCCTCCCGGTCCGCCCTTGTGTGGGCCTGGCCCCTGTGCACTCCCCTGCCTGTCCAGACACCTGCCCCTCCCCCTTCCTGACCCTGCGTGTCTCTCCTGGGACCCCATCCTCTCCCATCCTCCTGAATAGGAAGTCCCCAGTCATCAGCCTGCCCATGGGAATCCGAAGATGAGTGACCTGCTGGGCTTTGCTGTGCGCCCCCTGCCCCAAGGCCTACACGCCTCCTCACCCCATTCTGTGAGATGGGCAGTGCCCCCTCTGGACCCAGTGAATGCTTATATTTTCAATTCCTCCTCTGGCCCCTTGTCATGGCCCCTGTTCCTGGAAGAGGCCGAGAGGGCACCACCTGTGACACTCCCTGGCCCTGACCTGAGGATGACACCTGAAGTGATTGAATGAGTCCACCGGGGACGGGGTCCCAGTATTGCATCTGCTTCCTTCAGTGAGTTATGCTAAGTGTCCCCAAAGGTCTGCACCAAGTGGGTGCTTCATTCCCTATTGTTGCTGATGGAAGCCCTACCCGATCCTTCCCAGGTACCTCTCTGCTGTCCCCAGAGGTCCCCCATGTGGCCACAGTGAGGACACAGTCCGGGCACAGCCTCAGGGAATCGCGAGCCTCCATTCCAAAAGGCTGCTTCCCATGTGCTTTTCCAAATGAGCCAGGCTCCAGGCCACTGATGGGTGAGGCCAAAGGCTTTTATCGGGTACAGAGAAGTAAGCCCCGAAGTGGCCCAGCTTGGCCGGCAGTCCTTTCTGCACTGCCGGGCGCCAGGGGAGCCCCTCTAAGCTCCTCCCATGCTCCCCACGGGCACCCTAACAGGCTGACCGCCAGCCACCCTGCCTGTCAGAGGAGCACGCAGCGGCTCAGACACATGTGGGGACACTCAAGACAGACCGCGGGCTGTGGGCAGAGGCCCGACTGTGCCGAGGAGGGGGTGGGTGCTCACCTGGGGAGCCGCTGGCCTGTGGTCAGCTGGTCAGCATCCTCAGGAAGAAGTGTGAGCTCAGGAGCGCTCTGGCTGGTGTTTGGAGCCGGTTCCACTCGTGCGGTGCGCTTTCTCCACTTCCTCCTCACGCGTGTCCAGGGAGTCCTGTGCTTGGGGACCTCAGTCCCATGGACAGATGGCTCAGGTTCACGCTGAGGGGGGCAGCAGGGAGATAGTCAGTAGGAAACCCAGGACCCACCAGGACGAGGGAGGTTTGCAGCTCACCCGAGAGCCCCCAACCCCCTGGGGTGCAAGCAAGGAGCGGCACGGGGTGTCCCCGGGATCGAGGTTCCAGGCTCTCTGGAGTGGGTCTGTTGGCCAATCTCATGGGGAAGCCCTGGGAGGGCCCTGGCAGGTTACCAGGCTTGGAATGGGGTCCTGGGGTGTAGGCAGCCTGCCCCAGGTCCAGGAAGATGGAGTAGGTGAGTCCATCCACCAGCTCCTCCTCGCTCCCCAGGGTGGAGCTCTGCAAAGCCCGAGCCTGGTAGTGGGGGAGGAGGCACTCGGGGCTACCTGGACCTCCCCAACCCTGCCCCCGAGGTCAGGCACAGAGGGCCATCTGCCTAGACATCCAGTCCCAGGGGGAAGGAGAGGACACCCCCTGAGCTCAGGATTAACATGTGGGTGGAAGTACCTGGTCCCAACACTCACCTCCACATCCTGAATCATTAGACCAGAGCTGTGACACTGACTGCCCCCTCCTCCCCAGCCTTCAGTCCCCCCATGCCCCACGCCCACCGCAAACAAACACACAGGAAAGGCCGGCAGGAAGCTCAGCCCGGGACGGCTCACACAGTGGCCTGGCCCTGGAGGGGCCCGCTCTGGGCCGCCCTGTGTTACCTCGGGGCTCCTCGGGAGACACGGACAGAGGCGGTGGAGGAGGCCACTGAGCCAGCGCCCACAGCGAGCAGGAAGACTCTCCCTCTCGGCTTCCCTGACTCCCACGCCTTCAGAAGGCTCCGCAAAACAAGACCGCATGTTGCTCTGTCGAGCGCCTCCGGTCAAGTGAGCAGGACTGGGGTCTGCGGCCAGGATCTGGGTTCCGTCTGGGTCACAATTCAGGTTCTACTGGGCGTGTCTTGAGTGACATCACCTCTTCAAGGGTCCACTTCCAGGGCCCCTACCTGCATTCAGACATGCCCACATGCCCCTCTGGGCTGCTGACTGCCCACCCTCCTGGCCCTTGCCATGCATGAGTACACAGATCTCCACCAGAGCCCTCCCCTCGCTCTTTGGCAATGACACCAGGGTCCCAGCTCTGAGGAGACAAGAGCTGAGCTCAGGCCTCTTTTTCTCCCCAGTTCCCTGTCCTGCTGAGGCCACGGTACCTCCCAGGAGCTGCCCAACGTCCCAACCTGCACAGGCAGGGTCACGCCAGACATTCCTCCCTAGGGACATCCCCAGGGATACACGGACGACACCTAAAACTCCTGGGGGCTGGTGTCACGTGTGTCTGATGCACAGACTCAGAGGTGGAACAGCACGCAAGTCAGTCCGGGGTCTGGGCCTTGTGATCTTGGGCAAGTCACTTCCCCTCTAGGCCATGTTCAGGTGTGCACCTTGAAGGGGCGGCAATGAGAGGGGATCCAGGTGTTGCCATCTCCTGGCGTCCACCTTCCACAGTTCCAGGCTGCTCTCAAACTAGGTGCTTTTCAGACCAATCAGTAAGTGGGGCAGAGTAGCACACTGGACATGAGGTCTGTGCTGCCTCTGAAATCCGAGGTGATCTACCAGGCTGCTGTGCCGTGTGTGTGTGTGTGTGTGTGTGTGTGTGTGTGTGTGTGTGAGGGCGTGCAGATACAGCATCTTATTCATCACCTTAGAAGGGAGAGCTTTGCATGCCCACAAGATAGACCTCTAGATACTTCTATAAGATGAAAGGCCTCTGAATTTCTGTTGGATTTATTTCCCACCTTCTGACACGTGTGTGTTCTGTCAATATGCCTAGATGAGCTGTACTTCCTGATCCCCGGGTCCAGTCAGCAGAGTGCCATCAATGGGATGGGCCAGTGTGACGGCTTCTGGAAGGAAAAGGAGATGAAGGTTCCTTCTGACTAAGTGACAGCCTAGGTCTGGAGGCCTGATATGCCTCTGAGATAGTTCTCTCTCCTTGCCGGCTGAAAGCTAACCGCCCTGCTGGTCTTCACTCACAGGAAGAGAACAAAGAGCATTTTCCTGACCACTACTTACACACTGGGTGCTTGGGGACCAAGTGACGAAGCCCCATGTGCAGCAGTAACTACAATATGAGACACTCCGATGACGGTGACCATCATGCACTGTCATCTCCAAGATTCATCCGTTTTCGGCGTAGGCCAAACGAGTGACTTCAATAAGGGTCTGCGGAAATCACCACGCCGACATCTTCCAAGGCCTTGGTGGTCACTCCAGTCTGTAAGCTCTCCTGGAAGGCAGTACTGCTTTCAATGTATACTTTACAGGGAGTTCTAGAGGCTTGTGCTTGACCCGCCACACAGCAGGCACTCCTGGCCGGCACAGTCCCCTGTGGCTAGCAAGGAGGAAGCCGGGAGCTCTGCGTCCCTGACAGCTCGGCCCTGTGGCCTCTGACACTGAGGGAGCGGCCCTGCGGGCACTTGGTCGGGGGGTCGGGGGTGCTGCTCCTGATGCCAAGACCCGGTCCTCGTCCCTGAGGTCAAATCACAAAACACAGTGACAAGGTTTTGAGGAAAGAAAAGAATAGTTTATTGACTTGCTAGTAAATGAGGGAGTGGCAGGCTCCTGCCTTAGAGAACCGCCGTCCTCCTGACACACAAGCAGTCAGGGCTTTTCCAGGGGAAATGGTAGGAGAGAGGCTGGGGTGCAGACACATGAAGTAGCTGCTTGCAGGGGTCCAAGCAGACATTCCTGCACCGATTCACTAGCTTTTTGTTTTTCTTTTCTGCTCCTCCTCAGTCCCCGGGGACTGGATGCTTGGGGTTGCCTGTTATCTTCTAAGAGTTTTATGGTTTCATGACTTACATTCAGGTCTTTGATCCATTTTGAGTTTGCTTTTGTGTATGGGGATAGAGAATAATCCAGTTTCATTCTCTTGCATGGAGCTGTCCAGTTTTACCAACACCAGTTGTTGAAGAGGCTGTCATTTCCCCATTGTGTGTCCATGCTGTGTTCTCACAGATGTAGATGAAGCCTGGCTGTTGTACTGTATCGTCTGGTCTCTCTGTTAGGCATAGTTGTATTTGTTGTATTTTCAAAAATATATATGGTTTTGGGAGGAGATTTTCACCACCCTACTCATGCTGCCATCTTGAAACTCTCTCCTCTACTCCTTTTTAAAAATAATTCCTTTAATATTTTAATAAAAATACTTAATGTTGGCAAGGTTGTGGAGAAAGGTGAACCCTCCTACACTGCTGGTGGGAATGTAAATTAGTTCAACCATTGTGGAAAGCAGTATGGAGGTTCCTCAAAATGCTCAAAATAGACATACCATTTGACCCAGGAATGCCACTTCTAGGAGTTTACCCTAAGAATGCAGCAGCCCAGTTTGAAAACCTATGTTTATTGCAGCCCTATTTACAATAGCCAAGAAATGCAAGCAACCTAAGTGTCCATCAGTAGATGAATGGCTAAAGAAGATGTGGTACATATACACAATGGAATATTATTGAGCCATAAGAAGGAAACATATCCTACCATTTGCAACAACATGAATGGAGCTGGAGGGTATTATGCTCAGTGAAATAAGCCAGGCAGAGAAAGACAAATAAAATGATTTCACTCATATGTGGAGTGTAAGAACAAAGAACAACCGTAGGAACAAAACAGCAGCAGAATCATAGAACCCAAGAATGGACTAACAGTTACCAAAGGGAAGGGGACTGGGGAGGATGGGTGGGAAGGGAGGGATAAGGGCGGGGAAAAAGAAAGGAGGCCTTACTATTAGCATGTATAATGTGGGGGGCTGGCACGGGGAGGGCTGTGCAACACAGAGAAGACAAGTAGTGATTCTACAACATCTTACAACGCTGATGGACAGTGACTGTAATGGGGTTTGTTGGGGGGACTTGGTGAAGGGGGACCCTAGTAAACATAATGTTCTTCATGTAATTGTAGATTAATGATAACAAACAAACAGACAAAAATACTTAATAAAATATAGTTATCCAGTATTTTTACTTTTTTCCTCCAAAGAGAAGAACATCGGACTATTTTCCTTTAATTTTCACCAAACTCTCCCAAACTTATTATTATTATTTAATAGAGTCAATGTTTGTTTTGATTTACTCACGCGTGTATTAACTGTTTACATCCAATTTCTTTTTTTTTAGTTTTAATTTCTTTCTTTTTGAAGGACATCCTTTAGGCATTCTTTCTGTGAAAGCTAGTGACAGTAATGACCATTTTTTGTCTGAAAATATCTTTTATATTGCCCTCATTTCTGAATGATAGTTTAGTTATAAAATTCTGTGCAGGTGTTGCTTTAGGTAGTTTGAAGTTATTGTTCCACCATGTTCTGGCTTCTCTTGGTACTGTGGAGAATTATTTTCTCAGTTTAGTTTTCTTGCCTTTTAAGCTATGGTTAATCTCTAGATACATTTACTATGTTTTCCAGGTCAGTGGTATTCAGAAGTTTTTCTGACATATTTCTAGGCATTCATTTTGTTTTATTTATCTTGCTTGAGTTACATAATGTTTCTTGAAAGTAAAAATTCAGTTCTGGAAAACTCTATAGCCATTATTTTCTGAGTATTTCTTCTCTTCCATTATTTTTATTCACTCATCCTGGACCTCCTATATTTTTCCCCTTATTTAAAAAATTATCTTTCATCTTTTCCATCACTGTGTAGTTCATCGATTTACAAGACACTACTTTTCTATTTTGCTATTTCTAATGTCTTGTTTAATTAACTGATTATTTAATTTTAAGTAAGACTTTTTTGAAATTTATTGGTATTTCATTTTACTTTTGAAAAATACAGCCAGCTTCATTTTGTGGGGGAATGACTTGTTACTTTCTCATTTTAAAAAATTTAAGCATATTTATTTTATATTCTATATTTAATCATTTCTTTATCTAACATTCTTGAGGATCTTCTTCAAGTGTCTGTTCCTTCTCTCGTGATTGTGACTGCTGGGTAGTTTATTCACATGTTCTCTAATTCTGAATTGTAAATTGATGTACAGAGTAGAGGGATAGAGAGAATGGAACTTGAATTGGAGCATATAATAAAAATACTGTTTTTATCTGTGTAGACAAATGCATAATTTTTTATTTTAAAACACACTTTATGTTTAGTGTACGATTATGAATAGAAGCAATAATATAATTTAATGATTAATTTTTGTTTGGAAAATATCTCAAAGAACATAGTAAGAAATCATAATTGAAGCACTTGATATAAGTAAAAAATTGTCCATATGTCGTGTAGTGTGATGACAGCTTTACAGGACTCACACAATACTTATTTCCTGCAAAAATGGGAAGGCAGCCAAAATATGGAGAATGTGCACTGTAGTGATACTATTGGGTATTTCCCCCTCTTTAGATCATATATATATAATTCATGTTTAGAGAGATTAAGCCACCTACCCCAAGGTCTCAAAGCTAAGTGATAGACTTGTACTCAAATTCCAGTTCGTTTGACTTCAAAATCCATTTTTGTCTCTACTCACACTGCCTCCCAGTAAAGCCTCCGATGTCAGAGGCTGCCAGTTAGTACACATTCTTTGATTTTTAGCTGGGCACACATAGCCCAAATACAATAACATTTTCTACCCCACTTTACATCTTGGTGTTATCATGTAGCATAGTTTTCAGAAGAATAGAAGTGATGTGGTATGTGAGCTGTCAATATCAGAAAAACATGCGTTGCCAGGAAGGCACTGTTTCTTTGAGATGATAAACATCACGAACTTCTATTCATTTACTTTTTAGTCATTGATATTAGGCTCAGCATAGCGTGAGAGCCTGGAGAGCAAGCGCAGCTGCCTTGGCATGCCAACACTCCCACCATTTCCCAACATGGCTATGGAACATAGGAGGGCAGTTCCATAGCGCAGGGACTACAGAGAGGGCGACGAAAGGGCGCCTCGGCCCGTCAGCCACAGAGCGCAGCGCCCAGGGAGTGTGTTCCTCCGACGGCCGGGCGCCTCCGGGGGCGGAGCTCGCGCGGGGCGGACGTCGCTCCCGGGCGCGGGCGCGCCCCCTCGGCGGCGGCTTCGAGTGTCCCCGTCGGGGTGTCCGGGCCTCGGAGCGCCTGAGCAGCCGGCGTGTTCTGGTTGTCCCAGCGGCCGCGAGCGCCGGCTCGGTGCTGGCGCCTGAGCGGGAGGATGGCCCCGTCAGCGCCGGTGTCCTGGAGAAAGCGCAGGACTCCCCGCGGGGTCTTGGAGCGACGGAAGCCGCACCTTCGTCTCGAGTAGGTGGGTGGGGCGGAGCTACGGATGGGACAGCTGCCCAGCCTCACTGTCCTTTTTCACCCCAAAATGCTAATAATGGGGTCGATCCCAGACCATCCACCCGCCCGTCCATACCCGAACCCTCCCACGCATCCATGCACCCATCCACCTACCCACCCATCCATCTTGTTTGTCTTCTTTCGCCCGCGCACGTATCAGCCCCAATACTGCAAAGACTGCCCTGTTTATGTCTGCATCCCTGTGCCCAGCACTGGGTACTCATTATTTGTCCGAATCACTCATTCATTCATACAATAAATATTTGCTAATTAATTTATTCTTTCATTCAAATATTTACACACTAGCCAATTCTTAGACTCAGCAACCGAATGTAGCACTCTGAGCAGGACAAATGCAGGTGCTTTTTATTTTTATTTTCTTCAAGTGCTTTCCTTTTATTGAAGTATAGTTGACATTCAATATTATATTACTTTCAGGTGTACAACATAGCAATTCAGTAACTATATACATTAGGAAATGCTCACCACGGTAAGTTAGTTATCATTTGTCATCATACAAAGTTACTGCAATATTACCGACTGTTTCCCCATGCTTTTTATCCCTGTAACTATTTTATAATTGGAATTTTGTACCTCTTTATTCCCATCTATTTTGCCCATTCCTCCCTCCCCAATGGCAACCACCAGTTTGTTTTCTGTGTTTATGAGTCTATTTGTTTGTTTGCTTGTTCATTTGTTTTGTTTTTTAGATTCCATATATAAGTGAAATCATATGGTATTTGTCTTTATCTGACTTATTTCACTTAGCATAATACCCTCTAGGTCTACACATTTGTCATGAAATGGCAAAATTCCATCCTTTTATATAGCTGAGTGATACTCCGTTGTGTATATGGACCACATCTTTATCCGTTCATCTATCAATGGACACTTGGGTTGCTTCCATATCTTGGCTATTGTAAATAATGTTGCAGTGAACATAAGGGTTACATATATTTTTCTTTGAGTTGATGTTTTTGTTTTCTTCAGGTAAATACCCAGAAGTGGAATTGCTGCTCACATTGTAGTTCTGTGTTTAATTTTTCTTTTTTTTTTTTTCCACAGTAGCTGCAACCAATTTACATTCCCATCAACAGTGCACAGTGGTTGCCTTTCTCCCACATCCTCACCAACACTTGTTATTTCTTGTTGTGTCGATACCGGCCATTCTGACTAGTGTGAGGTGATATTTCATACTGGTTTTGATTTGCGTTTCCATGATGATTAGTGATGGTGAGCACCTTTCACGTGTCTGTTGGCTGTCTGCATGTCGTCTTAGGAAAACTGTCTATTCAGGTCCTCTACCCATTTTTATATCAGATTATTATTTTTTTATATGAGTTCTTTATACATTTTAGATATCAACCACTTATCAGATAGATCCTTTGCAAATATATTCTCCCACTCAGTAGGTTGCCTTTTCATTTTGTTGATAGTTTCCTTTGCTGTGCAGGAGCTTTTTGGTTTGATGTGGTCCCACCTGTTCATTTTTGCTTTTGTTTCCCTTTCCTGGGGAGACAGATGCAGGAAAAATTACTAAAGCCAATGTCCAAGAATTTACTGCCTATATTTTCTTGGAGGAGTCTTATGGCTTCGGGTCTTACATTTAGGTCTTGAATCCATTTTGAGATTAGTTTTGTGAATGTGGTAAGACAGTGATCCAGTTTCATTCTTTCACGTGTAGGTGTCCAGTTTTCCCCAACACCATTTATTGAGGACACTGTCTTCTCCCCCTTAAGGGACTGTTTAAGCGTGGGTTCATTTCTAGGTGCCTTATCTGTTCCATCGATCTATGTGTCTCTTCTCGTGCCAGTTCTGATTCCTATAGCTTTGCAGCATAATGTGAAATCAGGAAAGCTAGCTCCTCTTCTATTTTTTATTTTTTTAATTGAAGTACAGTTGATATACAATGTTATACTGGTTTATTATTATTATTAGTGTCACTTTTATTCACTCCAAAAATATGTACAAGCTCCTACTGTGTGACACAAAGATGTTGAGACATCGAAAAGATTAATACATGGTCATTATTATTATCACTATAATTATTGTAATATTCACTCAACAAACATTTACTGAGCACGTACCGTGTGCTGAACCATACAGATAGAAGCTGCGTTCATTATGGGAACGGTGAAATGATGCTGTTCATGATGATTTGCTCAGTGAGGGGATACTCACTGAGTGCCCTCTGAGCACTCCGGATGGCAAAGGAGACAGTGCCACTCTGCTGATCTCTTCCAGGGAGGGCAAGAGACACACAATACAGAAACCTAAAAACAAGATGATCGCTGTGAGGGTAGGAGCTCTGAAGGCAGCAGAGCCGGCGGCACGGTTTGGGCTGGGCAGGGGTGGGAGTTGTTGTAGAATGAATAGGGGTCTGGGAGGCAGATTCAGAGAAGGGACTGACATTTGAAAAATTTTCACCACGACCTTATGAGCAGGGACAATCCGAGAGAGTCCTGGGGGCAGAGCCTGGCACAAAGCTGGTACCAGTCTTGTTTATATGTGGGCTGAGCACATGAGCTCTGGAACCAGCTATTTGGGCTCAGGTCCTGACTCTGCCACCAGCCCGCTGGGAGGCCTCCACCTTGCTGTATGACAGTTTGCACATCTGTGAAATAAGGCTAATAACTGCACTTTTCTTCACTAGGTTATCATATAAATGCATGAATTATCTGTCACACCTGCTGTGACTTGGAACAGTGCCTGGGATGTAGCCAATACTCAATGTCATTATTATTTGCTATTATTATTATTATTATTTACTACGTGGCAGGTAAGAACACAGTTGGTGGCTTTGAATCCTGACTCCGCAATTGGCCGGGAGACATTAGGCTAGTGATTACACCTCTTGTGCCTCAGTCTTCCCTTCTGTTAAATGGGTGTAACAGCTTTGGTGCCATCTCCTTGGGGGGCACTCACTGGGTTCCTGGGCATAACTGATCCCTGGCACAATGTCTGTGCTCCCTGCACACCAATGCTTGCAAATCCTAGGCTGCACCTCCTGACTGTGATCTGAGCACCAGGGAAATTTGGGGCAGGTGGGGAAAGACAGAGAAATTCAGTCTCAGGCAGGCTGGGACTGATTCTGCTCAACAGAGGGAGGAAGGGTCCGGCTGAGCCTCTAGGGGGAGACATTCAACTCTTCCTGGCCTAATCCTTCCTTCCAGAATCCCAGCCCCAGACCTTTATCAGGCCCTGGGGTGGGTTGGGCATCTACGGGACGACGACGACGACGTGATAACCACGAGAGCAGTGGCTATTCATTGAGTAGTTACTCATATTGTGTTCCAACACCTCTTCTTGTCTTTTTGTTTGTTCGTTTCAAGTTCATTATTTTTTGCTGTTTGACTCCACTTTTCCCAGGTACGGTTTTCCTGATCATCTGTGGCCTGGGGGGAACCCCTGTATTCTTATATTGGGAGATGCAGAGGCACAGAGAGGGGGAGCCATTTGCCTAAGGACACACAGCAGGGAAGCAGTTGAGCCAGAATTTGCTCCTCAAGTCCTGACGTTTGAAAGCAGAGTTCCCAGCCCATTCCCAATGGCTCTGAGACATTGCTGGATATTGATGTTACTATTACTAACAATATACCACACTCATATATGGTGCTTGATATACCCGGGTGCAGCTCTCCCCATCTCCCATGCGGGAATCGTCCTTAAAACCACACTTGGAGTTAGGGAATTACCTCCATTTGACAGAGGGGAAAACCGAGGCTCGGAGAGTACTGGACCTGTACAAAGTCACCTGGCCAGCAGAGGCAGAGCTGGAATTCAAGCCCTGCAACCTAGAGTTTGATGCTGCCTCTGTGCAAAGGAGAGGAGTCCTCACTCCTGCCAGCCCCCTGCTCAAGGGGACCCTGGGGCATTTGGGGCACTGCCAGGCCCTTGCCCAGCCCAGGCATCTTGAACTTCTCAAGGACCCTTCTCCTGAGGCCTTGAAATGTTTTCAGACAGTAAGTAGAACTCAAAGGCCTGGGCCCAGCACCCTGGAATCTGAAACTCAAGGCTTGTTTGGCTGAAAAATGCATGAGCCCAAAAGCTTCACTGGGGTCAGAGAACAGAGCAGCTCTGTGTGCCCAGCCACTCCACCCCAGCTGCAACCTCCCCTGTCCCCAGGTCCCCAGGGACTGTGGCCGTGCCCCAGTTCCTCCTAGATGTTACAGCCAACCCCGGACTCCCCTCCTGGACCTTGCCTCTGGGCAGCCCCTTGAGTCTCTCCTCTGAAGCTCACAGCTGCTATGGCCGTCCCTCCTTCTCATATCCTCCATGGCTCTGCATTGCCCTCCAGCTGCCCTGCCCTGCTGACCTCTCCCATGAACCGCCGGCCCAGAGACACTGACTTCCTGAATTTCAGTTCCCCTCTTTCTCTTTCTCTCTTTCCCCTGGCACCTGACGGCTCAGTGCACACCACCTCCCCCTTTGCTTTCTGTACCTCATTCAGACCTCAGGACTCCCCTTCGGGAAGACCTTCCGACCTCTCACCCTCCTCGGGGCTTTCCTCCACGTCCCACGTTCCCCTGTCACAGCTGTGTTGAACCATATTTTTTTTTAATCTCTTTTAGAGAAAAACCACTTTTATCGTGTAAAATATGTAACATTTGCTACATATGTTACATAGATATGTACATAAATACATAAAATGGATAAAACTTACCATTTTACCCATTTTAGGCCCACAGTCCAGCGGCATTAAGCACATTCACGGTTTTGTGCACCCAGCCCCTCCATCCACCACCAGAACTCTACATATTCTGACACTGACACTCAGTCCGCATTAAACACTAACTCCGCAGCTCCACCCCCAGCCCCCAGCGCCCACCAGCCACTTCCCTTCTCTATGAACCTGGCTGCTCTGGGAACCCCACCCAATAGGCAGAATCATACAGTATTGGACTGGCTTGTTTAAATCTATGTTTTGAAATAGAGTTTTAGTTACCCCAGAAACACATGAAAACTTTCTCCCCTTAAAGAGAGAGAGAACATTATAGATCAGAGAATGTTTTTGTCCCTGCTCGCCCTTCCTGTCCTTCTGACAACTATGGGCCTCTTTAGATCTTTCTCTGGTAAGGTACAGGGCAGTGTGTCTGTGTGTGTCTGTGTGTTATTGTGTGTGTGTCTGTGTGATGTTGTCTCTCTCTCCCTTTTCCCATACCATCTATGGCCAAGCAACTAAATACAATTTGTTACATTTATTCACCAGTAGGACCTGGAAGCCTGGCTGGGTTACTTACCAGGGCTGAGGACCATGTGTGAAGTCAGGCTGCATGGGGTCAAATCTCCTGTACACCCCCACTCTTACTGTGCCTGTGAGTCAATTACTTAGCCTCTCTGTGTCACTTCCCTCAACTGGTAGGTGGTTGCAAAGATTTAATACAAAGCACTTAATAAATGGCCTAACCTTTCTGTGTCACTTTCCCCAACTGGAAAATGGTATAAAGATTTAATATAACCTCGCCTGATACTGACTCAGCTACTTATAAACATTCACTCTTGTTACAGCCTACAGGGCAACCTCCTTTCTTAAACTTAGAAATTTTTTCCATTTGTAAAATGTAACACATATTTCGAAAGGGCAGAAATCAAGTAATTGCTGCAAACTGAACCCACCTGTGTAACCACAGTCCCGTTTCCAGTTCCTACCCCCATGCCCCGGAAGCTGCCCTTACAGCCCTGCCAGTCACTACCACCCACAAAGGTGACCACCCATCCATATTGTTTCCATAGGCTGATTAGCTATGCCTGTCCTGGCTCCTCAAATTAAAGCAACTGGCCATTTTCACTCAGCATACTGGGTTTTTTTTTTGAGATTTACCCATGCCATTGCACTTACCCATAGCTCACTCCTTTTCATTGCTGAGGAATGTCCTATGGTATGGGTAGATCACAGTGTGTAGAACCATTCTGATGGGCATTTGGTTTGCTTCCAGTTTTGGGCCATTATAAATCGCTATGAACATTTGTACACAAGACTTTGTGTGTTCTTTTTTTTCTTTCCTTTTTTTCTTTTTAGTAGTTTTATAGCTTTATTTTTCCTGGGTACATACTTGGGAGTAGAATGACTGGGTCATATGCTAAGTCCCTGTTGAACTTTTTAAGAAACTACCAGACCTTTTGCCAAGTGCTTGTGTCATTTTACATTCCCACCAGCAGAATAGAGGACTCCCATTTGCTTCCAATCTTCAGCAACACTTGGTAGGTACCATTCATTTTTTTCCTTTTATCTATTCTGGTGGGTACTTAATGGCATATAATTGAGTTTCAATCTGCATTTCCCTAAGGCTTTATTCCGATGACCGTATTTGTGCTGTATGCACATCTCTGTTGGTGGACAGGTACATCACCCCCAGTAACTTTTATTTTTTTATTAAGGTATCATTGATATACACTCTTATGAAGGCCTCACATGCAAAACACTGCGGCCACTATATTTACCCATACCATCAAGCCCCCACTCACCCCACCGAAGTCACCGTCCATCAGCATAGTAAGACGCCACAGAGTCACCACCTGTCCCCTCTACGCCACACTGTCCTCCCTGTGACCCCCACCCACACCATGTGCACCTATCATAATACCCCTCCATCCCCTTTTCCCTCCCTCCCCACCCTCCCTCCGCCACCCCTCCCCCTGCCACCCCTCCCCTTTGGTAACTGCTAGTCCCTTCTTGGAGTCTGTGAGTCTGCTGCTGTTTTGTTCCTTCAGTTTTGCTTCATTGTTATGCTCCACAAATGAGGGAAATCATTTGGCACTTGTCTTTCTCCACCTGCCTGGCTTATTTCACTGAGCATAATACCCTCTAGCTCCATCCATGTGGTTGCAAATGGTAGGATTTGTTTTCTCCTCGTGACTGAATAGTATTCCATTGTGTATGTACCACCTCTTCTTTATCCATTCATCTACTGATGGACACTTAGGTTGCTTCCATTTCTTGACTATTGTAAATAGTGCTGCAATAAACATAGGGGTGCATATGTGTTTTTGAATCTGAGACATTTTATTTTTGGGGTAAATTCCTAGGAGTGGAATTCCTCGGTCAACTGGTATTTCTATTTTTAGTTTTTTGAGGAACCTCCATATTGCTTTCCACAATAGTTGAACTACACCCCCAGTAACTTTTACAGTAACTCTCAAAGCTGCCGGTAGCACCCTTTGTCATACACTCCCCGTGCACCCACACACCTGCAATGGCATCTCCAGGGTCAGTGGCAGAGATGAATCCCACGGGTGGGGGCGACGACACACATGGTTTAGATTTCATTTTTCTGCCCGAAAACATTCTGACCCACAGCATCTGCTCACCTCATTTGATGTTACCAAACTAAAATTCTTGCCAATTTGATGAATGAACAAGACACCTTTTTGTGTTTTCGCTGGCACAGTCAGCACCCAATCAATATCCATTCGGCGGATGGGTGGGTAGATGGATGGGTGGGTGACTAGATGGATGGATGGATGAGGACTGCTCCTTGCGCAGCAAACACACCAGAAGTGTCTCCGGTGGGCGGAGATGTGAAGCAAACATTGGGACCCCGCCCTCTCTCAGGCCCGGGCCCGCCCTCGTGCCCTGCCCCCGCCCGCTCCGGGCTCCGCGCACGCGGGGCGGGGCGCTGCAGCCCGCGGAGCCTCCCGGCTGCCCCGGCTGGGGTCGCACCGGCCTGGACTCCCTTACCGACCTGCGGCGGCCATGGAGGACGAGCGGAAGGACGGAGCCTACGGTAGGAGCCGCCTCCGGCTTGCGGCCGCCGCAGCTGAGTCGGGGGTCCCATGGGGGAAGGGGACACCGAGCTCTCAAGGCCCTGCTGTGCAGCTGCTCCTCGGCGCCGAACCCACTTCCCACTACTCCCGCAGGGTCGCCCCTCATACCCTCCCGGGAGCCCCCGCTACCCCTCGGGCTAATGGGCCTGGATGCACGGCCCATGCTCCGCCCAGGGAGGTCCCGTTATCTGGGCGGCTCCGATGCCGGGCGGGGGAGGGGAGGCTCGGCCAACCGGGCTCGGAAAAGAGACAGGCTTCGACCTCCCCAAACCCTCCTCGTCCAGTCCGCATTGTACACTTCTTCCTCCTGCCTACATCCCCCTAGTAGTAGCCGTTCCCGGCTTTCGGTCAGATGGGGAAACTGAGGCAAGGCAGGCCCATCGAACGCGGGGGTGGGAGCCCCTCGGATCTTGCTGGCTGTCTGGGAATGGCGGAAAGAAGGGCGCCTCCGGGGAGGGAGCAGGAAGGAAGCCGGAAACAATTGAGAAACTTTCCTTGCCCTGTGCTAGGGGCTGCGGGTGCCTGCTCGCACCTCACGAGGTCCTGGCGACTGGGACCCCCTCTCGCGACCCTCAGAGGGTGGCCTTCGCCTCTGGGCCCGGGGATGGGGCCAAGATGAGGCCCCTCCCAATCCACGCCTGCCGCGCCGCCCTTCCCCGGCTTCCCACGGAGGGGGAGTTCAGTTTCTCCTCTCTCTGAGGGATTTTGGGTCCCAGGGCTGAGTTGGGCACACGCCCCACGCAGCCCTGCTCAGGGGCCAAGGGGCCCTGCAGCCCCTCCTTGTGTGACAGGAACTTCCTGGATACTGTGAGACTGTAGGGCCTTGGGGAGGGGGCCGGAAACCGCTCAAAAATAATCAAGAAAAACAAGCCTGTTAGGACCGTGCCTCCCTCCCCCACCCCCAGGGGCTGTGAACTCGGGAGGCTGCAGACAGAGATAGATGGCGGGGAGGAGGCTGGGACTCTCCCTGCTCAGACCAGCCTAGAGGGAAGTATGGGGACCTGGCCACCGCCCAGCCGCCCCCTCCCTGCTTGAAGCTGCCAGCCCACACCTCCTGAGGGTGCCCCCCTCGCTCCAGGTTTTGGCTCAAGCCCCAAACCCTGCTGCTGCCTGCCAGTGCTGTGTGTCCCTTGGGTATGGCTGGCTGTTTCTGATCTAGGTATCTCAGTCTGGGGCCCTGGCCAGGCCCTGCCTGCCTGTGGGCAGCCCTTGAGGGATCTTTGGTCTCCTGAGGCAAGGCTGGGATGGGTATGGGAGGGCAGAATGGACAAGGATGTGATTCACCCGATCTTGGATGTGGCCAAAAGGAGCCAGCCGTGGATGGACTGAGCAAACCCTGCCAGGCTCTGCCAGACCCACCCTGGAGACAGGGGACCTCTGTGCCCAGTAGACGTGCTGGGCACCCGAATCCCATTCCATTGCTTGGGGGTCTAGACACCAAGTACATGGCAGTGAACACAATAGACAAAACCTTGAATAAATATGTAGTTTTAGGTTGCTTTAAGTTTTGTGAAGCAAAGAACAGGACTGCATATGTGTGGGAGGATCACCTGGAATTATTTTAGGTGACCAAGGGCTGGAGGTTGAGCCAGCAGTCATAGGAACATTTGGGAAAATTGTGTCCCAGGCAGACGGAACAGCAAGCAATTCACCGTTGCTTAATTATTTCTCTGAGGCCCAGAGGAGCCCAGGATGGAGACTTCAGCTGGGTCTTGCAGCCAGGCCCTCACCTCCTCCAGAGGGGTCATCTGGCTTCACTCCTCAAAGTGGGGTTCTTGCTTTGCTTGTAAATAGCCCGTTCTCATCAGAATCAAAAACCTGGGGCCCTTGGGCTTCTTGGTGAAGTCCCTGCCAGATAATGGGGAGCTTTCCTTTTGGAATGGTGTGTAAGAGTAGCTCACATACCCTTCCCTTGTACCCCAGTGCCTTCCTATCAGTCACTATGAATTCCGGGGGTGATGTTAGACCCAGGTTCAAATCTTGGCT